ATTAAATGAGATAGGAACTAAKAAAGATATGCATTTGTAGTTTAAGTGTCCCTTGAAGTGGCAAGATGTTTTTTAGTAGTCTGACAAAAGTTGCAAAATCTTTACACTGTCTTATGCTAGGAGGTAATTCATTAAATAAGTTTGCAGACGTGTCTTGGAAAGTTCAGAATTTTGCCCAGAATTTTGCTGGCATTGACATAATCTAAGTTTTTATCCAACACTGAGATAGTGGGATGATTATTATCTAAGCTATGGACTCGGGACATCTGGCTTGTGCTGACTAGCATGGCTTTGGTCTTTTTGGAGTTCAGAGCAAGATGGGAGTTGCTCGACCAAGTACTAAGGGCTTCTAATGTGTCATTCATCTTGCTTGCTGTTTGAACGAGTTCGGCAGGACGACAACTTGTCAAGATGGTAGTGTCGTCTGCATACTGGTATGAGGCCACAGAAGGTGGTAGATGTTCCCTCAGATCAGAGACGTACAGATTGAAAAGCATAGGTCCAAGGATTGAACCCTGCGGAACCCCGAACCTAACAGTCTCAAGTTCTGATATCTTATCGTCAATCTGAACAAAGTGTGATCTGTCTGTCAAGTAACTCGACAGCCAGCCAAGGAAACCCTTTGAAAAGCCAAGCGATGACAATTTGAGGATCAGAGTCTTAAAATCAATAGTGTCGAAGGCCTTGGAAAAATCAGCAAGAACCATCAGAGTGACCTCCCCTTTCTTCATTGCTTTGATTAAATCGTCACGCATACCCATTAGCACGGTACTGGTGGAATGACCTTTGCGAAAACTAGATAACGTCTCGGCAAGAACTGCGTTCTTCTCACAGAAGGAGCTCATTTGTTGAGCAACAAGTTTCTCGAAGACTTTTGACTGAGCTGAGCTGGAAGTATTGAAATTGGCCTGAAATGTTCATCCAGTACAGGGGAATCAATCTTTGGGATTGGACTTATCCTTGCCTTCTTCCATGCCTTAGGGAAAAATGACTTCCTGATGTAGTTATTAATGATGGAGGTAAGAGGGCTTGCTATGATCTCGTGTACCATTTTAGCAAATTTAACAGGAATCATGTCAGGTCCAGTGGAGGTGTCCGTCCTTAGTGATTTTAACACTTTGACAACTTCTMCGTACGATACTTCTTTAAGCTGGAAATCTGATTCAGTACCATCGGGGAGCTGGGCTAGCAGGTCCGCCAGACTGTCTTTTGTCTGGTTCTTGCCAGGAAAAGTTCTTTCAACCGTCTGCGMAAAGAACTTGTTCAGTTTGTTTGGATCAGAGCGTAAGGGCTTCTGATTTGGCTTCAGTATGAGATGAATTATGCGCCAGACCTCTTTTGGCTTGCTTGAAGAGAGAGCTTGTTTCATGAAAAATTCGCGTGCACRGCGGATGGAGGTTTTCAGCTTATTCCGGATTTCACGTAGTTTCGTCCAGGTTTCATGCAAACCAGTCTGATGAGCTTCTTTTCTCAAGGTGYCGCGCTGCTTTTGTATAGTTCTGATGTTGTCATCGATCCACGGTGCTGGGGGTCTGGTAATACGCATCCTTCGCAGAGGGGCATGTCTCTCGAGACATTCACAAAATAATTTGTTAAAAAGTTCAAATTGTTCCTCAGGATCGTCAGTAGAGAAAACTATATTACTAGGAAGTTGGGAGAAGTCATCAATAAATTCCTTCTCATTGAAACTTTTAACATCTCTAATGTATTTATAGCGCGGTTGAAATCGCGTCACACRGACATTTATACAGGCGAACGGTGCGTCATGGTCGCTCACAATTCCAGTAGGAATAACATCAGTGTTAGCAACAMGTGATGGGAGATTGGTAATGATATGGTCAAGGAGTGTTCGTGATGTTCTAGTGACCCTTGTTGGCTTAGTCACTATTTGCTCAAGTCCAAAAATATCCAGAATCCCTTTGTATCGAGTAGTTTGCGCACTTGGCGCTCCAAATCAAAGTTGAAATCAAAGTTGAAATCGCCTGCCAACACAAGCATCCCATCCCACGTAGATGTTATGAAGCTCAGCAGATCCTCGAAATGCTCCAACCACTTTGTAGGTGTAAAAAGCAGATCGGATCTATAAAAGTAGGAGTTTGCTGTGCCTGTTTTTACCCGGTAATTCCAACCATAAGTGCTCTAAATCAGGTTGGATTTTTTCAATGTCGCATCTYCGCTTGTATTTTACGTTCTCCTTAATATAGGCACCTACGCCCCCGCCCTTGGTAGTATCACGATTTCGGAACTCYGTAACATAGCCCTCTATTGTGACATATTCCATGAGCTCTTTTTGATTTCTTAGCCAGGTCTCACTAAGGACAGCCACATCCATTGGATAAGTCTTCA